ACATCACAGCTGACATAACATCCATCATATGACATCACAGCTCTCCAGTGATATCACATCATCCCTCTGACATCACGTCCTCCCCTGTGACATCACATCATCCTCGTGACATCACAGCTCCCCTGTGACATCACATTCTCCCCGTGAAATAACATTGTTCCTGTGACAGCATATCTCCCCTATGACATCACATCCATCATATGACATCCCATTTCTCCTGTGATATAATCCCCCTGACATCAAAACCGCCCCGTGACATCGCATCCTCTCTGTGACATCACATCTCCTCTATGACATCACATCCATCGTATGACATCACACCTCTCCTGTGACATCACATTTCTCCTATTATGTCACATTCATCATATCACAACACACCTCTCCTGTGACATCACAACCGCCTCTGGACATCACATCTTTCCTATGACGTCACAGCTCCCCTGTGACAGCACATCTCTCCTCAGACGTCATGTCCTCCACTATGACATCAATGCTCAAATGTGACTTAACACCTGCCCTGTGACATCACATCTCCTCTATGATGTCACATCTGTCATATGACACCAAACATCTCCTGTGATATCATATCATCCCTGTGACATCACATCCGTACCTGTGACATCACATCCTTCCTGTGACATCGCATCTTTCCTGTGACATCACATCTCCCCTATGACATCACATCCATCATATGACATCACACCTCTCCTGTGATATCAGATCATCCCCGTGATGTCATGTCCTCCCCTGTGACATCAGACCTCCCCTGTGAAATCACACCTGTCCCGGTGACATCACATGTCCTATGATGTCACATCCATCATATGACAGCACATTCTTCATGTGACATCACACCTCTCCATCACATCAAAGCTCCCCTATGACATCACATCCTCCCCTGTGACATCACAGCTCTCCTATGACATCACATCCTTGTTGTGACATCAAGGCTCTTCAATGAAGTCACATCCATAATATGACATCACATCTCTCTCCCCATGACATCACATTCTCCCTCTGAAATCACAGCTCCTCTATGACGTCACATTGATCATATGACATCACATCCTTCCTGTGACATCATATCTCCTCTATGCCATCACATCCATCACAGGACATCAAACCTCTCCTGTGATATCATATCATGTCTGTGACATCCCATGCTCACCTGTGACATCACATCCTCCCTCTGACATCACACCTCCCCTGTGACATCACATCCTTGTTGTGACATCACATCTCCCTTGTCATATCACACTCTTGTTCTGACATCAAGGCTCCTCTATGATGTCACATCCATCATATGACATCACATCTCCCCTGTGACATCACATCCAGTGACATCCAGATCCATCCCA